ACTCCCACTACACCAGGCTTTCCATTGTATTTGTAAAGTTGGGGTCGGTGAAGTTCCCACTGACTGGAAAAGGGGAAACATAACTCAGGGACAGACAGCAGTTCCTCTCCCTGGAGCATCTGGGGCATCATCCCATCCCATCCCACCCCACCCCACCTGCCCCGTCGGGCTGCAGCACCAGGCTGCAGAGGAGCTGTGGGACATCACTGGCGTTGGTGGCCACGTAGCAGGAATAATTCCCAAAATCGGGATGGCTGAGGTTCCTCAGCAGCAGGGACACACCGGTGTCCCCTGGTCCTGCCGTGCAGAAGGCCACCCTGCCCCTAAACCGACTCTCGGGCTCCTGCGTGGGGTGCCAGCCCGGCTCCTGGGGGGGCTGCCAGCCCAGGAGGTGGCTGAGGATGAGGACGGGGTGGTGGTCTCCAGCCTGGTGGGTGCAGGTGAGGGTGACCCCCCGTAGGTGTCCCCAGGGCTGGGTGCCACAGGGCAGGCAGGCGTCCTCACCGGGGGACGCCGTGAGGGTGACGGGGGGCTGGTCTGCAGGAGAGAGGGGACAGAGGTGTCACCATCCCCACCTCAGACCCTCAGCATTCCCCCAGGACCACCGGGATGGGGACAACCCATCCCATCCCCATCCTCATCCCACCCCATCCCATCCCATCCCATCCCCATCCCATTCCCATCCCCATCCCACCCCATCCCATCCCCATCCCATTCCATCCCATCCCCATCCCCATCCCATCCCACACCATCCCCATCCCATCCCATCCCCACCCCCATTCCATCCCATCCCCATCCCCATCTCATCCCATCCCATCCCCATCCCATCCCCATCCCCATGGGTGGACACGGGGTGGTGGTGGGGGGACAACCCAAACAACCCAGTCTCCCGTTGGATTCCAGGTGCTGGAAATAAGATGGGTGGGGTGGCCGTTGGGACAACGGCGAGGATGATGATGCTGGTGGCATCTGAGGTTGAGCAGCATCTCCTGCCAAGACCAAGGGCTGGTCGATGCCAAGGAAGCAGCCGCCCGGTGAGTCACCACCACCACCAACAACAACCACCCTCCTGCTGGGAACCCTCACCCCCTGCCTGTGGCCCCGCCGCGCCCCAACGCCTCGGGGTCCCCCCACGCTGCTCTCCCCCAGGCAGGGAAGGAAAATTGGGGGGCAAAAAGGGGGGGGGGTGATCCCCCAGACCCACCAGTAGCTGCCTGGATGAGGAACGGAGCCAGAGCCCAGAGCACCACGACGGGGACCAGCATCATCCTGCCGGCATGGGGACCTGGGGAACACCCCAAGGAGACGGTCACCTCACCCCCCACACACGGTGGGTCACCCAAA